GAAAAATCTAGGGGCACCTGGGTGGCTCAGTCGGTTAAGCATCTGACTCTTGGTTTTGGCTCAGATCGTGATCTTGGGGTCCTGGGATCAAATGCCATGTTGGGCTCCCCACTCAGTGGAGAGCCTGCTTGAGAGTCTTTCCCTCTGCCCCTCCCTTCAAGCTTGCTCTCCCTCCCTCTCTTTCTTTAAAATAAATAAATAAATCTTTAAAAAAATAAAAAGACAAATCTAAACCACAACGACAGGAAACTGGTCAGTGGCTGGCTGGAGTGTAACAAGGGGACTGGCTAGGAAGGAGCACCAGGAAGCTTTTGGGGTGTTGAAAATAGTCTATGTATCTTAACTGACACAGACTAAACACACTGCATTGGAAGACAATGATGACTGCCTAGATGTCCATCTTCTAACATTTCCTCCCAAAACAATGCAGAACAAGGAAAACCACAACCTCAGCATAACTCAAAGAGAAAGAATACCCAAACTTCAAAATAAGTATAAATGAAATAAAGGGCAACCAGTTCCCCACCCACCCACTCCTTGCCCCACCCACCCAATGTGCCCCCACCTCATCTGACTCAAGACCTGTGGTAAAAGCAGACTAAGAAAAACTGCTGTAAAGAGGTCAGAGAACTGGTGCCAGTGGCAGGCATAAGGATGAAATATTCTATTAGCAGGAAGACTAAGCACATCCCAAATCAGAAAGTACTAAAAAGATGTCCTACTAGATCATAGTACGAACTCTATTCAATTGAACCTCGTAGACTTAAATGTGTAAGCTGGGGATAAGGACCAAAATGGGGAAGGGAAAAATTTATACAGTGCTGCAGACAAGAGAATCAAAGAGGTTTTTCATAGGCAAATAGATACAACCAAAACCCTATTAAGAAGCATTGAAGAAAGGTGTAAAAACAACCAAGGGAATGAAAAGGAGATAAATTAAAAAAGATCAGAGGCAAAGTAATGGAAAGTAAGGGAAGTAAAAAGAATAAAATCCAAACTATTGCATTCCCTGAAGAGTAAAACATAAAACAATGGACTAGAACTAATATTTCAAACTATAATCCAAGAAAACTTCACAGACATTTCAAGAGATCAGAATCTACATATTAAAAGGGCCAACTGGTAACCTAGGAAAGTGAAGTAAGAATGGTCCATGTCTCAGAGTACACCCTGATATAAAGATATTAGATTTTAAAGATAAAGAAATAAATTCTCAAGGCAGACAAAAAGATCAAATAAATAAAAAAACAACATAAATATCAACGCAATAGTAGAGAAGCATTTTTAAAAATGCAATACGAAAAAAAATGCAATACAAAATGTTAATTTCATATCCAGCCAGCGGTCCTTTAAATATGGAGGACATTGAAATCCATTTTTAACATAGAAGAATTTAGGATATTCTATACCAAATGAGCCTTTCTTGAGTAGATGAACTTCATCCAACCAAGAGATAACTAAGAAAAATTCAGAGAAAGGACTGAAGATGATCATTTTAATATAAAAGTAGACCTACAACTAAAATGCAGGTGGAGATGAGAAAGACTAATGCACAAATGTTTTTATATTGTGACAAAGAAATAATGCAACTAGAACTGGGAGAAGGTTGAGGAAGAAGAAAGTAGAATACCCACACATTAATATTTATATAGGTAATGGCAGAAATTAAAGAATATCAATACAAGAAGGACAAACCTAAAACTGTAATACTTCTACAACAAAGCACAGGAGATAATCTTTGTAAGCTAGAGTTGCACAAACATTTCTTGGATAAAACATGAAAAGCATAATTTACAAGGAAAAACAATGAACTGAACTTCAGCAAAATTAAATGTTTGCTCTGTGAAAGACACTGGTGAGAGAATGACAGAACACACTACATAGAAATTATTCTCAAATCACTACCATGGCAAAAGACTTGGATCCTGGATACATAAAAAATGCTAAAAACTCAACCATAAGAAAACAAATAACTCAATAAGAAAAACTGGGCAAAGGATTTGAACACACACTTCATCAAAGAAGGTATATGGATAGCAAATAAATACAAGAACAGATGCTCAACATCTTTAGTCATTAGGGAGATGAAAATTAAAACCACAAAAATAACCACAATATACTTTTTAGAATGGTAAAAATCAAAAGAACTGACAATACAAAGAGCTGACAAAGTTGAAGAGCAAATGAACTCTTATCATTGCTGGTAGAAATGCAGAATGGTACAGTTCCTTTGGTAAACAGTTTGTTAGTTTCTTAAATAAACACACACTTCCCTAGTGATCCAGCAATCATATTCTGGAAACAAAAACCTATGTTCACATAAAAATCTGTATGTAAATGTTTATGGCAGCTTTACATATTATCGTCAAAAACCAGAAACAACCCAACGTCCATCAACAGGAAAAAGGATAAAGAGATTTACATTTATATAAAGAATACTTCCCACCAATACAAAAGAACAATCATCTAATGTTCAAAATGATATGGATGAATCTCAAAAATATGCAGAGTGAAAAAAGATGCAAAAAGGTTAATGTGATTTTTTCGTTTATGTGAAGTTCAAGAATAGACAAAAATGATCTATGGTGATGGACATAAGAATAGCAGCTGCTGGAGGCAGGGGTCAGAGGTAATTGATTTGAAAAGAGCATGAGGGTGAAGGGTATGTTCAGTATCTTGATTATACAGGGATATATGTTTATCAAAATTCACTGAACTATACAGTTAAGGTTTGTGCACTTGTTTATAAATTATACTCAATAAAGTATTGTCAGCTTTTCAAAAAGGCATCAATATATTCATTTTATAAGTATTATTCTGTCATCTTTTCCTTTAACCAGACCAAATTTTAACTATTTATTTTCTTTACCTGAAGGATGTTGTTCCATTCTCTTTTACTTTATTTTTCTGAATAGGAGATGCTTGGATTGACAGAATCTTATTTCCTGGCAGGGTAATTTGCTTTAGAATGGAAGCTATACAAACAAAAGAAGAAAGAAAAATGAATTAAAAAAAAAATCATGCCATATTAGGAAAAATGCAGAATAATAGCTTTTAGTATACAAAGAAAATTTCAAGCTGTCCTAGAACTATATTTAAATTCAAAAACGACAGGGGCGCCTGGGTGGCTCAGTCGGTTAAGCAGCTGCCTTTGGCTCAGGTCATGATCCCAGGGTCCTGGGATTGAGCCCTACATCGGGCTCCCTGCTCAGCGGGAAGTCTGCTTCTCCCTTTTCCTCTGCCTCTCCCCCTGCTTGTGAACTCTTTCTCTCTTTCTCTGTCAAATAAATAAATAAAATCTTAAAAAAAAAAAAAATTCAAAAACGACAATGAATTTATTCCCTGTACAAGCAATCATCTTATAAAATCAAGACCTCTCCATTTCTTTTTTTTTTTTTAAAGGTTTTATTTATTTATTTGACAGAGAGAGAGAGACACAGCGAGAGAGAGAACACAAGCAGGGGGAGTGGGAGAGGGAGAAGCAGGCTTCCCATAGAGCAGGGAGCCTGATATGGGGCTTGATCCCAGGACCCTGGGATTACGAGCTGAGCCGAAGGCAGACACTTAACGACTGAGCCACCCAGGTGCCCCTCCATTTCTTTTTATATAGTCTTCAAACAGTCTACAGAATTACCAGCGTTATAAAAACACGCAGAAAAAGTGACAGGTGATAAATGTTAATAATATATCATATTTGTAGATTTAAAAAAATACACTAAATCTCTTCTACGTGTAAGAATGATTTCCAAACTTAGAAATAGTACATTTTAAAAAGAAATAAAGTTATAGCAATTTTTATGTTAAAAAGTGCTTTATATAAATACGTTATTCTAATTACAAAAATACCATGAACAGCTGCTTCTTTTATTCTAAAGCAACACATATCCCTAAAAAGTAGCTATGTATGTACAAAGAATGTACTAAATAGTTATTTTTCAGTCCTCCCCCCAGGTCCTATTTAAAAGACTATCTTCTCTTAATATAACAATAAAAAAAGAGAATAATACAAAACCCCATCATGTTCCAAACCCAGTGTGATGGGGCAGGGATGGATCGGGGTCTACCTGGAGCAAACTGACTGGTAGGTATTGCAGTGCTCATTGGCATCTTCTTCTGTCCAGATTTCTGAATGGTCAATGCTGAGGAATGGGAAAGTGTGGTCACTTGTTTTGCAACACCTCCTGAAGGCTGCTGGACTACCTGAAACAATGAGAACTATTAATACACTCATTCAACTAAACCTGCTTTAGAAAAGAACAAGCTTTCAATTATAACAGTAGAACAAATGACGGTGCTCACCTAACTGTAAATACACCTTTACATTAGCATAACAGAAAGTCTACTTAAAATTTATATCTGTATGTCGCAAAATTATCTTGTTCAATAGTGAAAAACATGACTATTATACAATATATTTTATTTTTAGAGTGGAATTCAAATTTGCATTATATACTGCCCGACTTAAATCTCCATTTGGATCCTATTTTCATTTTTTAACTTATGGAAAATTTCAAACATATACAAAAGTAGAGGGAAGAATAAAATGAAACCACCTATTCCACTATTATCCAGTTTCAACAATGAGTAATTCTTTACCAATCCTGTTTTATCCATATCCCTACCCACTCATTTTCTCACCACCCTCAATTTTTTTTTTTTAAATCCCAGGTATATCTTTTTATCCCTAAATATTTCAAAATATGTCTCTAAAAGATAAAGACTTTTAATGGGCTGCTTTTTACAAGTCTTTGGAAAACAACAATGCTAGGGCATTCTCCAAGAGAATAGTTCAAGAAATCCAGAGGGCAAGGGTTGGGGATAAAGGAAGAGAAATTAGACTAATAGTAGGGCCTTATTTTTAGCTACAAAGAAGAAGAAAAGTCAAAATAGCAGAGCTTCATTTTTTCACTTCAAAAAAGAAAAAGTCACCATGTATATTTGAGTCCACTATTAATAGTGAACTACTTAAAAGTCCTTAAGCTCGGATACGGCTAATATAAACAAGTCAGGAGAAAGACTTCTGAACAGAATTTTGGGGATAGTATTCTATTCTCTCATTTTTTGTAAATAAAATATAAAATTTAGTGTGTATTACTAAACAAAAGTAACTCACAAGAAACTCAAAATGTCCCAGTAAAGAAGCCCATGGGAACTAATGGCCATACAGAAGAAATACAAGTTGGAATAATCCAACTGCCATCATTCTATAAAAAGAAACTCTTGAAAGAGAGAAAGAACTCTTGAAAACAATGATGTATTTTAATAAGTTGAGATTATAAACTGAGTTGTATTGTAAAGTACGAGGAATCAGATTTATATTCTACAAAGTAATATTTTGATGGATGAACAAATAAAAGAAAATATGGTATACATACAACAGAAAAGTACTCAGCTACAAAAAGAATGAAATCTTGCCATTTGCAACCACATGGATAGTATATGCTAAGTGAAACAAGTCACAAACTTCCAGTTATAAAATAAGACAGATGAATATAATATACAGTATAGGGAATACAGTTAATAATATTTTAATAACTTTGAGGATAGATAATAGCTAGGTTTAGTGTGGTAATCACTTCCTAATGTATTTAGATGTTGAACATTACTATGCTGTATACTGAAACTAATATTGTATATCAACTGTACTTCAAAAAAATTTTTTATAAGTGTATGTACAGAGAAAGGTCTGTAAGTTAAAAAAACAATCTGTAAACAGTGATTATTTCCTAGGATTCTACTGCAGGGTAATTTTGCTTTCTACTTTGTGTATTTATTATATACTTTATAGATATGTACATTATTTGCTTTTTTATGATTAACATAAGCTACATTTATAATTAGAAAAATAATAAAGTTAAACTTTCAAATAACTGAAGATGAGAATATTAGAAAAAAAATTTTACAAAATAATATACATTTAGAGTCACATTTATTCATTCAAACTGAAACTCAACAGAAACAGTCCTCTAACAATTCTGTCTTATCTTCCTGTTCATATTTTCTTCCTTAATATCCTTAAGTATTCTTTTCCAGTATTTTAATTGTGAAAAACAGTAATAAAATATTAGAGAGGTGTTTATGAGTTAGTCTTCATACCATTTTGACAGGTAATCATATAACAGCCCAAAGGCCTACCCCTGAGGTAGACACAGGCTCTACATAGCCTGGCTGTGTGCACCCTCAGCTATAGAGTAGGCCCCGGGACGCCTGGGTAGTTCAGTTGGTTAAGTGTCTGCCTTTGGCTCAGGTCATGATCCCAGAGTCCTAGGATCTTCAAGTTCCCCATCGGGAGCCTGCTTCTCCCTTTGCCTGCCACTCCCCCTACTTGTGCTCTCTCTCGCTTTCTCTCTCTCTCCCCACCCCCTGACAAATAAATAAATAAATAAAATCTTAAAAAAAAAAAAGAGTGGGCCCCATGGGACCTCGGCACCAGTCTGCAGCCCTGGCAAGAACAAGCTGGGGAAAGCAAGCCTCAGTACCCACCTGTAGGATCCTGGGTGTGCCTTGCCCTGCCTCCAGCCCAACTGGGGTCAAGATCATACATGTGGAGGAAGACAAATACACCAGTTAAAAATATATAGGGGCGCCTGGCTGGCTCAGTGGTGGAGCAAGCAACTCTTGATCTTGGGGTTGTGAGCTCGAGCCCCACCTTGGTGTAGTGATCACTTAAACTTTGAAAAAAATACATATATATAACCATAACTTCATAAATTATATTTATATATATTATGACTATAAATAAAATATATAAATGTATATGATATGTGATATTTTTATATATCACAAAGTTCTGAGCTGGGATTTAACAATCCTGGATCCCCATCGTTCCCCACCTTAATGACTATAACACTTGGGGCAGCATATGTGGTGCATACTCCTACACACTTGCTGAACAAAATAAAATACAATGAGTGAGAAAGTATAAGCGCATTCATTACTGTTCTTTCAAAGAAAGTACCACTTAAAACCACAGTATTAGGCATCTTACGGAGACTGAAATTATCATAGAGAGATGGAAATTCACCCAAAGAGGTATTTACTCCTACTTGGCAAGGAAAAGAAAAACTTAAGTCCTTCATTTAATTTCCCTCCAAAAAGCCACTACACAGGAAAATCAATAAATAGTACATACCTTAGCCTTTTCTCTTGACATGTCAAATTCTGATATTTTATTTGGATGTTAACATAAAATAATGTTCTAGTAGTTTACAGAAATACAGATCTAGTGTAACACAATATTACTTAGGTTTTTTTTACATTATGATTTTTACATTATGCTCTGGGATATCAGACAAGGAACTATTCTTAAATTTCGTAAGGAAAGGACACAAAGAAACACAAGTATGAATTAAACAAGTAGATGAGAACATCCCTTACACTTTTTTTAAAAAAGATTTTATTTATTTGAGAGAGAGAGAAAGCACGTGTGAGCAGGGGGACGGGGAGAGGGAAAGAATCTCAAGCAGACTCCTCGCTAAGCACGGAGCAGGACGGAGTTTGATCTCACGACCCTGAGATTATGACCTGAGCCGAAATCAAGAGTCCAGCACTTAACCAACTGAGCAACCCAGGCATCCCCATCTCTTACACTTTGCCTTCTCTGTATTTCAACCCTCACCTACTCCCCTGTTCATAAATACACAGCAATCAAATCCTTATCTCTAAATAACTCAAGTAGTACATACACACATAGTAATTGGAATCAAGGGTATTATCTCCTCTAATTTCTATTTCTATATAATATTCAGTATGTGATTACTGGCATGCACTCGGTAGGTTGAGTTCTAGAAAACAGAGGACTCCAACTAAACAAAAGCTGCACCTTTATAGTCAGGAAATACATGTTAGTTGCCAACTATTTCTCAGGAACAGCCAGTATGTGGTTCTTGTACCACTATTTCCTTATCTTCTGGGACAATGGCATACATCACTAAATGCCATCACTTCTATATACCCTCATCCAGCCTCAGAATCTTAACATAGAACTCCAGTAAAATCCTACAAAGAAGATTGAAACTTATATGCCATACCCAATCTAAATTAAAACTCAACGTTGGTAAACTTCAGAATATGCTGTTTCTTTCATTTAAAGGGCCTTCTAAACACTTTTAAAAATGTGCTCAAATGAATTTTTAATTATGCTACCAGCTTTTATAAGGAATCCATAAATGCCGCTTCAAATTGAGAACCTCTAAGTTTCTGTTAAAAAATTTATGATCTCTGGTCTGTAGATAATCTTTAAATTAAATTTAGCTTTTGCTCAACTATGAATAAAACATTTTTTTTACAAATATCCTAAGAAAAACTTTTAAGCATCAAAACTGAAAGCTTCTACTTACTATCTACCCATCATCTGTAGACTATAATACAATTCATCCACTTATTAACTTTTAAAGAAAGGTAAAAACATTAAGCTTAACATTTAGTTGGAGTGTGTAACATCATATAACACCTACTATGCCAGAATTGTTCAATAACCAATAACACTAACCATTTATAAGAACTAGATTGTCAGATGAAATCACAGGAACTACTGAATAGGTCCATAGTTCAACAATGAAAGCATCTGAGGACCAAAATATACAAAGCAATGAATTACTGGCACAAAATGAAAAACTTATATCTAAAGAAACTATGAACAATTCCAATTATTTCATTTGATGAGAACTCTAGCAGATCCCCAGAGGATAACATACAATAATCAATGAGATAGAAAAGATAATATATAGTAACAAATCTAAATTAAAAAAGTAAATGGGGAAGGGCCTCTTTAATCTGGAATAAAAACATTATTTCATAAAATAATAATTCTATAAAATCTAAACCCTGCACTGGGAGATTAAGAGGATCCTTATAAATTGAAAAGTGTGATATTTAAAACATCTAGAAGGCAAGAAACCTAAACAATTCTCCAGAAAAGCTAGTACATGCTAGAAACATATAAAACATTAAGAAGAGGTTTTAAAATTCATGATCAATCAATTAAAGGAAATTAAAAAAAAAATTTTTTTTAGAGAGTGTGAAGGTGCGAGCAAGCAGGGTGGGAGGGGGGAGGGGCAAACTGAGAGGGAGAGAAAGAATCTCAAGCAGGCTCCACACCCAGCACAGAGCCTGACCCAAGGGGTGGGGGTGGAGGGAATTAATCTCACCACCCTGAGATCATGACCTGAGCCGAAATCAAGATGGTCGCTTAACCAACTGAGCCACCCAGGCACCCCAGAAATAAACAAATTTTAAACCTAATATTGAACAATCTATACTTGTATTCTTCAGCTCATTTTTGGAGACTACATCCTGAGTTGCACAAACCACAGATTTGAACCAGTATGGCAATTCTCATATTTTAAATTATGATTTGCCATATCTCTTATAAGCTGCATTGAATACTTTCTTATGTTTCTAGCACCCTGAGTATTTTCCCCCTCACTTATCTGGGATTAAATTGAACTATGGTTTATGATGGCCTCATGGATGATATTCTTAAATTACTTGAGTAATACTAAACTTTAGTAATATTAATTTCCTAAATTAGCTGATTTGAAAGAATGTCCTAGTTCAAGCCTCTCTGTGGCATTACCACAGAGAATGGCTTGTTTTGTGCCCCCAGGTAAAAATCTGTAAAACAGATTACAATGCATCTTCAGTGTCTAGATGCTCTGGTGTTTGACATTTTAAATAGGAAGGTATAAATACTGACATCAAATCTGCTGAGTAAAATTAAAACAAAGGGCAAACAAGAAAGCAGAATTCACAAGAAAAATTAAATTATTCCACATTTTTTTAAGAATGAAAGTAGGTCAAAAAATCCCTAAAATTTACCATTAGATTTTCTTTCTTTTCTTTTCTTTTTTTTTAAGTAATCTCTACACCCAACGTGGGGCTCAAACTCACAATCCTGAGATCAAAAGTCCCATCCTCCCTGGACTCAGCCAGCCAGATTCCCCCCATTGGAAAATCTGTTACATTTTTTCTTGATTGAAATTGTTTCTCATGTATAACAAGTCAAACATACAAAATATAAATGCTGTCAAGATATCATTACCAGTCTTACTGTTTCAGGACACTCTAGATACCTAGAAGTTCTTGCTATGAGTACATCCTAATGGGAAAGACCCTGGGTTTTAGTCTGAGATCCAAGACTTGCTGAGTGCCAGTGAATGGGTCACTTAATGTTTCCAGATTCTAAAGTTTTCTCCCTGCCTTTTCTTCATCATAAAATTATTTTAAAACCCACAGTAATACCTGACATGCTTTTAAAACTCTACATAGGTGTAAAGTGTTATTTCACTTCAGGAACTAATATGGTACAGATGTTCAATAAAGATTAGCACTGATTCAAGAATCACTTATGACCATAAAAAGGATTTCAATTCTGTTCAGTGCTACCAAAAAAGAGGCCTTTCCTTGAGGTGATTACTTTGTTTCAGTGGTTCCCAAAGCTGGCTGCTCAGACTGATGTTTAAGAATCACTGCTTCTAAAAAGGTTTCATCTCTGAGATTAAATTCAAACAACCCAAGAGAAATTCTGCAAGGCAGGCACATTTCTTTATTTGAAAATCAAACTCAGGGTAGGAAGGGATGAAAAATGATTAGCACCCAGGAAATGACATTACTTCCTACCTACCCAAGAGTTTGACCACTGTCCAAGCTTATCTTCCCCCTTTCTTTCTTTTTTTTTTTTTTTAAGATTTTATTTATTTATTCATGAGAGACACAGCAGGGAGCCTAATGCAGAACTCGATCCCAGGACCCCAGGATCATGACCTGAGCTGAAGGCAGATGCTTAACCATCTGAGCCACCCAGGTGCCCTGATCTTCCCCCTTTCATCTTATGCCCATAGCTGACCTTTGCCTCAAAGACAATCATCCACAGATATTAACCTCTTCTCCTGATCAGACAACAAAGGCTGGGGAGTTTACTTAGATTTTATTATTCTCAGAAGCAGAATAAACTAAAACAATGAGATTTAACACACAGCCTTTAACATAAAGATTTATAAAAGAAAACAAGGGCAATTACCCAAAATTAAAAGAACAGCTAACTGTTATGGTATAAGGTAAGCGAGTTTACTAAGAAATGTAATTTTTAATTAATTCACCATGTAGTATTTCCTACAGGTTAGTAATAATCTGAGTCTGTCTTGATTAAACTGCAATGTTCTAAACACTATGAAAATGAAGGGAAACCTCACTAAAATGAGTCAGGAGGCCAGAAGGGGAACCTCTCACACCCTATAACTAGTCATCAACTGCAGACCCCAACAGAAAGGGGAGGTGCCTTGCATTCCCAACAGGAAGAAGCCTATCCTTTACTACACCTGTAGGAGGAAGAAAGATTTTTCACCTTGCCCAGCAACAGCCCAGCCAATGAGAGACTGTCACAACTCAAGCCAATGAGAAGGCACTACACTTCGGTTTACTCCAGTGGACTTTTGTAAAAGCCTTTTCCAACTTCCCCCTTTCCTCTGTACAAGGCCATTCTTCTTTGTTCTCTAGATCTGCCTATGGTTTTGCCATATCTTGCTTGTCCTGAATTCTAATTCTTTGCTATTCCCAAATAAACCCATTTTTGTTGGTGAAATAATAGACAGTTTTATTTCTAAGGTTAACAACACAAAATGATAAACAGCTAAGATTTCTTTCACCTAAGAACCTCCCAACCTACCAAGTTTAGGAAAAACCACAACTTCATACTCATCTACTCCCCTCACTGTTTCCCTCTCCCCTTTGCACATTTTTCTTGAGAAATGTTACCATAACATTACTTCTGTAATGACCTTGCCCAAAAGATTCAGTCTGAATCTAATCTTGAGAAAACAATTAGATAAAACAAAGGACATTCTGCAAAACAACTAGCCTGGGTACTTAAAACTATTACAACAGAATGAGCAACTACAAAAGGCTGAGGAGTTGTTCTAGATTAAAGGAGCCTAAAGAGAAATGACAGGTAAATGCAATACGCAGTTCTTAATCAGAAACAACATCAAAAAAAGGGACATTATTGGGGCGCCTGGGTGGCTCAGTCCTTAAGCGTCTACCTTCGGCTCAGGTCATGATCTCAGGTTCCCGGGATCGAGCCCTGCATCCGGCTCTCTGCTCAGTGGAAAGCCTGCTTCTCCCTCACCCACTTCCCCTGCTTGTGTTCCCTCTCTCGCTGTGTCTCTCTCTGTCAAATAAATAAAATCTTTAAAAAAAAAAAAAAAAGGGACATTATTAGGTATAAAAGACACTGTTGGGACAACTGGGGAAAAAAAATCATACCAATATTAAATTTCCAAGTGTGATGGTAAGTACGTGGCCATTATGTTAAAAAAAAAAATCCTTTTCCTTAAGAGATACACAGTACTTAGAGGTACAATGTCACAACTTCTGCAATTAACTCTCAAGTAGTTCAGGAAAAAGTTCTGTGTGTGTGCTTATGTGTGTGAATAGAGAGAGGGAGAGACTAAGCAAGTGTGCTAAGTCAAGGATACTCAGGGGCTCATTTGACTAGTCTTGCCAGTTTCCTGAATGTTTGAAATTTTCAAAAAAAGAAACTGAGGAAGAAATGAAATGTTACTCACTAGCTGTTTGACTTGAACTGCCTGGGGAATCCCAGCTGGTTGTGAAAGGATGGGGCCCGGCTGTGCAAGTTTGATCTGGACTGGAGCAATGACGGCCTTGTCGGATGTGGTCCCAGCAGAAGTAACAACAGGCTTCACAGATGGAAGACAGAGAGCTGCTGCGGAAGCTTCTCCGAAAGTTACTGAGGGAAGGGCCAGCGTGACTGCTGCCCCAGAGACAACTGGCTTTTCAGGTTGAAGCGAGACTGCTGTAACTGTATTCTGTATAGATGTCACAAGTGGTTTTGGAGTCTGAAGCAAAACACTTCCAGCGGTTGTTCCTCCTGGCACAGCACATGGACCCACAGAATGAAGTGTCACAACTCCAGTTTTTGCTCCCCCTGGACCAGCGAGTGGATTCAGAGTCGGCACTGACACAGTACTGGGTGTTGTTGCTCCGGAAACAATGATGGGTTTTTCAGACTGCATTGAGCAAACTGCTGTTGTCACCACAGGAGAAGTTGTGGCTGTTGTGGTACAGGTGGCAATGACTACGTCACTAGAGGTCTGCTGAACACACTGCTGAATAAAGCTCTGGGAGCTGGGCATGAGTTGTCGTAAGGCATTCACACTTTTCTAGGAACGGGAGAAAAAAGAACCTGATCACTAAATAAATTAGCTGCTAGTAAAATAGAATTACTTTGTATTTCGTAGCTTTACAACATAAGATAAATCAGAAGTATACCAGGTATTTCAGTTGAGTAAATCTGGGATCACCTGGTAGTCATATCCTGCCGATATCCAGGATACAACCAATTTAAAGCACAAAAGTGCTTTATTTTTCAATACAAAATTATTATCTCTCAGTATTAAATTTTTTATATCCCTCAAGATCCATTTGGTAAAATAAAACACTGTGTCATACTTGTTTGTGTTTACTTATACCCCATAATAGATCACTAATAATTATTCTATCAGTAAATTTCTTTATATGACAATAGAATCTAAAAAAAAAAAAAAGTTTTTGTTAATTAACTTTCAAACTTCGGATAAAAACAGTCTTTAAATCAAAATAAAACTAATACACGGGATGCCTGGGTGGCTCAG